GCTTCCTTTATTTTATTTTATTTTATTTTATTTTATTTTATTTTATTTTTTAGAGACTTTTATTATTTATTTGACAGAGAGAGACACACAGCGAGAGAGGGAACACAAGCAGGGGGAGTGGGAGAGGGAGAAGCAGGCTTCCCGCCGAGCCGGGAGCCCGATGTGGGGCTCGATTCCAGGACCCTGGGATCATGACCTGAGCCGAAGGCAGACGCTTAATGACTGAGCCACCCAGGCGCCCCTGTGACAGTATTTTCTAAACCTGAAATTGGAGCGCTTGGTTTAGCAAATCTGAAACAACAGTTGTGGTGTGTCTGGGGGACTTTGGGGACTCGCTCCTGCTGCTGGGGCTAAGTCTCGTCCAAACATTGACCTGTGAGAACCCAGGTGGTACCTGGCTTAGCTGGTGAGGGCTGCATTTCCGTCCCAGCTCAGCCTGTCCCCAGACCAAGCACAGGTGGCACAAACCCTGGTGGCTGTGTGGACCCGTGGTCACATTCTGTTCCTTCTCTCCCCTCCAGACTCCCCTCCGCCTCCCCTACGCGGGAACAGATGCACCCAGGCTGTTTCCAGATCTTTCCCTCTAGGTCGGGCCACGGGGCAGTCATACTCCCGCCCTTTCCAAGGACCTCTCTTACTGTAGGTCAACCTGTCTCTCAGGCACCGAGCCCTCTGACTCAAAAACCTTCCTCTTTGCAAATTTCCTCTTTGTCCTGGGGAAGTACCAACCGCCTCTGGGGCATGTGGGCCCCTGGGCTCTGGCCTGGGGTGGGGTCTTGTACCCCTTACCCCCCATCACATCCCATCCCGAAGCCACAGGGGAAGCTCCTGGTTCTGGGGGGGCCTGTCAGTTTCACCGATTCCCCTTGGAGAAGGGAAGGAGCTTGCCCCCTCCCTGGGGAAGACGAGATACAAACACCTTACATGGGTGACAGCAAGCTCCCCGCTTTCAGCTCTCCTCTCCCCCTTCCTGGAGGGCGAGCATGCAGGGGCGGGGGAGGCTCCGAGCAGGGCAGACAGCGGCTGAGCCGAAGAACCACAGTCAGGTCACACATGCAGTCTTTCTATCAGGCCCCACATTCTTTACTGGGCTACAGACAGAGGTAAATCTGCTACCGCCGCCCCACCTGAGCAAAGACGAGGGCCCGAATGTTCTCAGCGGTCCCTCAGGGTGGCCACTCCGCTGCCACCCCTCCTGCCCCCTCCTCACACCAGCTGTACTCACCACCACAGTTTCACACTCAGAGCCAAGGCCTTGCCTCGTGCATGCCAACGGTGCCCATGCCCAGACCCGCGCAGGTGCTGGGGTTTCTGAGAACCACACCTGCCCGGAAACTCTTCTCACCTCTGCCCTTGGGAGAAGTAGATGCTGCCTCTGGCCGCTTTGGTCCACAGGTGGGGGGAGGGTGGGGGTGCGGGCCAGGGGCCAGGCTAGAGTCCAGGTGCTGTCAGCAGCACACCCGGGAGCACAGCTGGGTGACTCCAGGTGGCCCCCTGCAGGGCACCGCACGGAGTTAAAGGAGGGTCCTGGGCTGACCCAGTAGGACCGTCCTAATCTATGGGGCCAAAAGTACTTTCCAGAGTGATCCAAGGTGGGAGTTTGCTTCCATCCTGCTTCCTAGACTCTGGTGTCCCTGGGGAGTCCTCTGAGAAATCATAGGCATTGTGGAGACTCAGCAGCTGGTCTCGAGGACAAAAACGTGGAGAAGGCGGTGGGGAGAAGTCAGGATTGATGAGGAAGGGTTATTGATTCAGTCTGAAAGCGTCCCGTGGGGGTAGGCCCTCTGGGCACCGGGGGTGGGCGCCGGCGGGAAGACCCTGGGTTTGAGAAGCTGGATGAGGGTTCAGGATGAACATGCTGGGAGACAAGAAGCCTGGAGCTGATGACCAGACGGAAGGTGATGGAAGCTGGGAATGATTCTGACCTCCACTCTCGTTCTTCACAAGCACTGAGGGGCCTCCACCTCCCCAGCTTCTGGCCCCTCCGAAGCCTCATCCTTACTGCCCACCAGCGGCTCCTCCTCCCCCTTTAGGAGGGGGGCTGACCCGGCCTTCAGCTCCTCCAGCTCCAAGGAGCACTGTTGGGACTTGCCTTTATCCAAGAAGGTGGTGAGTGTGGGCTGCTGGCCAGCCCCTTCCCTCTCAAGCCCCCCAGAGCCCTTCTCGGCCCCAGAGCCCCCTGCAGTTGCTGTCAGGGCCTCCTCGTCAGGCACCTGGGCCGGCCCAGCCCAGGCATCGACCACCCCGTTGCGCTTGCCCCCCCTGCTTAGTGTCAGGGCCCCTGTCCTCCTTTTTTGCCTCTGCCGCCAGAGCAGGAGTAGGGCCACGAGGACAATGACCACCAGCAGGGCTATAAGCACAGCCACCAGCAGGGAGCTCTTTGTCCCCTGATCTGAAAGTTGGGTACTGCTTCTGTTTTTGGAGGACGCTGAGGTAGTCACGGTGGGTATTTTTACCATGGAGATGGGGGAGCCACTGGTCCCCTTGGGGATCGGCAGAGAGTCAGTTGCCATGGTGACGGGGGGTCCACCGTCTACATCAGAGGTCTCCAGGGAGCCAGTTGCCATGGTGACGGGGGGTCCACCGTCTACATCAGAGGTCTCCAGAGAGCCAGTTGCCACGGTGACGGGGGGTCCACCGGCTACATCAGAGGTCTCCAGGGAGCCAGTAGCCACGGTGACGGGGGGTCCACCGGCTACATCAGAGGTCTCCAGGGAGCCAGTAGCCACGGTGACGGGGGGTCCACCGGCTACATCAGAGGTCTCCATGGAGCCAGTAGCCATGGTGACGGGGGGTCCACCGGCTACATCAGAGGTCTCCAGGGAGCCAGTAGCCATGGTGACGGAGGGTCCACCGGCTACATCAGAGGTCTCTAGGGAGCCAGTAGCCATGGTGACGGGGGGTCCACCGTCTACATCAGAGGTCTCCAGGGAGCCAGTTGCCATGGTGACGGGGGGTCCACCGGCTACATCAGAGGTCTCCAGAGAGCCAGTAGCCATGGTGACAGGGGGTCCACCGGCTACATCAGAGGTCTCCAGAGAGCCAGTAGCCATGGTGACGGGGGGTCCACCGGCTACATCAGAGGTCGCCAGAGAGCCAGTTGCCATGGTTCCATCAGTCATAACGTGGAGTGCCAGAGAGTTTCTTGGTGGTTCAGCAGGTTTACTGTTTGCATTAATTTCCAGGTTTGATGACTCCTTGGTGGAAACTTCCCAGAAGACTGTTGACTCAGGTACATGGAGGTCACTGGTGGCAGCAGCAGAAGCCTCAGGAAAGGACATTTCATGGGCTGTATAGAGGTCTGAGGAAGGTGGGGAGATCTGGTGCCTGGTGCTGTTGTCCTTCTCTGGGACCCTTGTTGTCATAGGGTTGGGGGCCACTAAGTTGAGGTTTGGGGCCTCAGAGAAAGATGAGACCAAGGAAGCAGAGGACCCTCCCGGTACAGACATCTCCAAAGTGGTTGCGATGTCCAGAGACCCCAGAGTCACCTCTTGAATCCAGATGCCCCCAAAGAGGAGGAAAAACAAGGTCATTCCCATGGCAGCACGCATGGGCAGGAGTGGAGACCTGAGGGTGGGGAAGTTGGAGAAATACAAACACAGAAAGAGCTGAGGGGGGAGAACCTGGCCAGGCCCTCCCCTTCTGCCCACTTCCCTGCTAACTGCCAGACCCAACTTGTGGTTTAACGGCTTTTCCACCCTTGCTTTTACTATTATCAGAAAGAACAAGGGAGCAGACATGGACAGCTCTGCCAACAACTCGGACCTACAGGCCCCCTCAGGCCTCGGCTGCTTGCACTCCAGCAACGGCCGCCCCTCCCGGCCTTCCATGACCCTATTCAGCCCCGATGGCTCCCGAGCCTCTTTTCCCATCATCTACCAGGGTCTTTCCAAGCCACAGCATATTCCCAGGTCCGCAAAGGCCCCTGCCCCCCCAGGTCGCACCCCTTACCAGCTCACTTGATAACGGCACAAAGTTGGGGCCAGGCCGCTCCAACTCCTCCTGAAGCTGGAGCAGGACTGGGCAGATGGGCCCCAGGGGGAAAGGAAGTGGCCCTGGCTCCACCCACCCCACCCCAGCATCCTGCCCCACCCACACTGCTCCCCCAGCTGTCCGTGATGACAGCTCCATCACTTGCTCTTTCTAGGGTCTGAGATGGCGCCAAGGGTTCTGGGGTCTCAGCTGAGGCAAGAGGGGGTTGTGGCAGGTGGGGGGATCTGGAATGGGGACTTAGCTGGGAATTGGGATGGCAAGGGGTGAAGCTGGGATGGGGATGAGGGTCAGAGCTGGGGTGATGCGGAGGCATGCTTGACAACAAGGGTGTGTGGAGGAGAACATGGGAGGGAGGGTGGTTTCCTTTGCCTTTGTGGTCCCCAAGCTGTTAGGCCCAGACCCAGGGTAGCACCATTTCCTGCCCCAAGAGTTCCCAGGAAGTACCAGGGCGAGAAGAGGCCCCGACTCTGGCTGGGGGCAGCGAAAGCATTTGCAGACTGTGTGCAATCCCTGGTGGGTTCTTGATGACTTCTCCAGAAGCTGGGGGGGTCACCACAATGGCCCCCAGCTGTGGGGTGCTTAACTAGACTGAGGCGGTTGCTAAGCATTCATATGTTAAAATCTTATTTTTGTGGCAGACTAATAAATGTAGGACTCTATATGGAAAACAGTCTGGAAAAATATCGATTGAGGCATTAATCTAGTTTCTTTGGACAGGTGTGAATAGGGTTCTTTATTTTCTTCTTCGGATGGTTGCTGTTTTCTGAATTTCATCTAGTTTTTTTTTCTCCTCCTCCTTTTTTTGTATGTGTATATATATTTTTTCATGTTTTTCTTTCTTTTTATTTTTTAAAAATATTTTATTTATGGGTACATGGGTGGCTCAGTTGGTTAAGGGTCAGCCTTCGGCTCAGGTCGTGATCCCAGGGTTCTGGGATCGAGTCCCACTTCGGGCTCCTGCTCCACGGGGATTCTGCTTTTCCCTCTGCCCCTCCCCCCACCCAGGCGCCCCTGTTTTGTTTTTGTTTTTTTCAGGCGCCCCTGTTTGGCTTTTTTTTTTTT